GGGGGGGCGAGTATCGATCAGTTTATGACGCCTGCTCGTCCCAGCTGCTTTTCAGGCCCAATATACACTCCTCGCTTATCGACCGTCAATGATGTAGGGAGGCGTACCGACGGAGATAAGGGAGGTTAGAACGACCATTTTTGAGGTGGCGTTGAGCTTGCATCCGGATGATCTCGAAAATGCCGATGATATCGCTTTACTAGCTCAAAACTTAAGATATTTACAGTCTATGACGTCACGAGTGAACGAGGTGGCTAAATCGGTCAGTTTGTCCGTAAACGCTTTCCTGCTGCATCTCTGTCCAAGAGGTGCCACCTCCCGAGATAAGTGGCCGTCAACTTGAGGAAGTAGGCGGTTTCAAATACCTCGGAGCGAGATTGCTGCCGAATGAACAGAGTAAGGATGACATCATCTCCCGGATCGACGCAGCTCTTCGAGTTTTCTCCGGCCTCAGAAGGTGCCTATGGACCCGACGCAAAGATTCACATGTACCGTGCATTCATGCCGTCTGTCTTCCTCTACGGATGTGAATGCTGAACTATGCGCGTGGAAGATGAATGGAAACTGGGGATATTTGGACACTAATGCTTGAGGAGCATCCATCGAGTAAATTACAGCGACATCGTCTCAGATTAGACAGTCGGCACTCGCTGCGAAAACATCGCAAGAATATCCCAGGCCGTCCAAAGAAGACGACTGAGGTGGTTCAGACACGTTCTTCTTCGTCAACCTTACAAGCACAGTGTTATTGCTTTCGATCCGACACCATTACCCAATTGTAGACACAAAAGAGGTAGTCAGCTCAAAATCTAACTCAACTCACTCCGTCAAGATATGGATGTGGTTCTTGGACATTCGGTATTCGGCCTACGGCCTTGACGGAGATGATGGATTGAACTGTCCAGGCACGCTGCCACGGATCGTCACGCGTGGCAAAGTACCATTCGAGACATAATCGATGCCGGATGCGATGCAGAGACATGATCGCAACCGTAACAAGTACACGTACCCAGCCAATGGTCTGGAGAAGCAGGGAGGCGAATCTAGACCCTTCGGCCATTGCGCATTAAATCCAACGCTGTGCCATTTATTGCCCGCTCTAGGAAACAAAATGCTCTAACAGCAGGCACAGAGAACACTACTCGTAGATTCAGTATGCCCAAATTGATGCTTTTTCCACTTCTGTGGTCAGAAACCAGTAGAATTCAAAATCCACCTGCCTATACTTCTCCACTCAGCTAATCATTTGCTTCCCTTTCATCCCACTGGCAGGCGTTTAGTAACAAATGGCTACAGGATTTCGCCGACGACAAGGATTTCTTTGCCGCTGGTAAAATGCTCGTCAACCCAGAGGCGAATGGAAGTACTCGTTATGAGGCTGCATCCACCCTCCTCTCAATTTCGAACTACTACCTCAACGTTTACACTTGGCTCGGATGTGTCCTCACTGTATGCATCTGTGTCTACGTAACGGTGTCGGTCGCATCTAGTTTCAAGGCTTCTAAGGTGAGTTAATGGGCGCCCCTTTTGGTCCCAACGTTTTTAAAAGTTCACTTTTTCAACTTATCACTGAAAAGCGGTTGCGTTCTTGAGTATGCACGAATGTAAAATGATCTGCCACACGATGCTTATGTCAACTGAACTCTATATCTCACGAAGAGGTTACCACCACTTCCAACCTGTCACATCACCCCCTTCTTTTGTGAGTAATCTGTCTGCCACCAAACCGAATTGGAATATGAAAGAAAGACCTCCTCAATTTTCTTAACACGATCATCATTCTTTTTATCCTCCACTCAGCAATGATCGGTGAATAGATGCCTTAGCATAGTAATTAAGCCTCCTACCTAATTTACCTCCTCATTTTGCTACTTTTGGACAAATGGTGATGTGCAAGGACAACAATAGACAGAGGCTGTCTCTGATGGTGCGTTCGAAAGGGAATCCGAAATGTCAGGTGAATTACTTTCCTGTACCAGCGATCGCGTCAATAGGTAAGGATCGTTAATAAGGCTCTCTGGTAGGATATGGGAACAACAACCGCGCTTGACATTGGTGACCTTGTAATCAGTCCCCTGGAAATCAGGTTTAGGATTAAGGACAAGTAGAGTTAGGGTGCTGATAAGAAATGAGGTAAGGGTAAGGTTTGAGGATAGAGTTCGGTTTAAGAGCAGGATGTTTACACCTCGTGAAGTTTAGCGCAAGGCCACCTTTATTGTGGGAGACGTTTCTATTCCCGTATCGTTAATGAAAATAGCCGACACTGTAAATGCAATAGTCCGCATTTACAGTATAGGGTGGCATCTTCTGTTGGTTCCAAGTTACTCGGAATCACCTGCTCAGTGCTGGGGATTTGTAAACACGAAGTCAGTTTGCTTATCTCAGTCCAGTCTGAGGAACGAAGAATAGGGGTTGTTGTACATTAGGGCAGACTAAGTGAACAAAAATAATCATGCCTATCACGGTCCTATTTCCAGGAAGTTTGTGGATCACTTGAGGCAGGCAACAATTCTCACTATCAAACTTGTCAGTGCAGCCATTTTATTTGTATATTCATTACGGTGCATTTTTTTTCGCCGGGACGTCATAGCAGGCAACTTATTTATAAACTGTTTCTCGAACTGTTGGCGTGCTTACGGTAGCAGTGATAGCGTTGCTTGCTGCAAAGGGTGCTCTCTTAGTGCAAAAGCCTGAATCAAAGGAAAGATCTCAAAGACTGTAGGTGGACTTGGAGTTTCGCAATTTCATAAGCACTATATGAATTCGTGGTAGACCGTAAGGCCGCTTAATAAAAGTTGCGTATTAGTAAAGGAAAGACTTTTTGGTGGCTCTACTGGAATCTGCGCTTCTCGTGAGTACTCCTGTGGTGGACGGCCAACAATTCTGCCCCCTTTTCTGACGTC